GATGTTGTTGTTAATGATGATGTTGTTGATGTTGCTGATGTTGATGTTGTTGATGATGTTGATGCTGCTGATGTTGTTGAGTTAAATGACAACAAGATGATGATGACTATTATGCCGATGATACAGTTGATGATAGTGAAGACGATGATGGGAAGGACATTTAAAAACAGACTGCACACCATGATGGTCATGTGACAATAACAAAAATGATGACGCGATTGATACAGATAAGATTCAAAATTAAAATTAATTGCTGAGATATGATGAGGAAAAAAATAACAATAAAAAGGCTAGTGATGAAAATTGCCAAAAAATGATGAAACATTAGGAATGATGATAACACGGACAAGGATGTTAATGACTGTAATTGGGCCGGCCCACTTTGTAACTAAGGAATTATGGAAAAAAAATGACGACGGAAATGATTATGATGAAGAAGATGAAGAAGATGATGATGAAAATTGTATGAAGATGACAATGGTGATGGTGATGATGATGATGGTGATGAAGATAAAGATGATGATGAAAGATAATAAAAAAGATGATGGGAAAGATGAGGATGAAGAGGACGATAAAGAGAAAGAAGAAGGGATAATGATGCCATTGTCATCTCGATGATTGCCGGAAGGTTTAACGAAAAGTTGGGAAAACTGGAAAGGTTACAATTATGATGAATTGATGTTTTGAATGTTTATACCGCATTGAAAATGATGATGATGATAACGGAAATGATGATGATGATGATGACAACAGAAATAATGATGATAATGATGATGGTGATGGCGATGACGATAAGGAGGAAAAGCAAGATGGTAGCGATGATGAAGATGATTATAATGAAGAAGAAGATGATGATGATGAAGAAGAAGAAGATGATGATGAAAAAAAAGAAGAAGAAGATGATGATGATGAAGAAGAAGATGATGATGATGATGAAGAAGAAGATGATGATGATGATGATGAAGAAGATGATGATGATGATGAAGAAGAAGAAGAAGATGATGATGAAGAAGAAGAAGATGATGATGATGATGAAGAAGAAGATGATGATGATGATGAAGAAGAAGAAGATGATGATGATGAATAGAGTTTTCATAAAAAGTTATCATCTTAAATTGAGACGGCGTCCACTTGTGAAAGTATGTGTCATCAAGTTTCACCACACGTTATGTTTATTTCTTCATAATGATTAGACTGACAAAAATTTGATCACTGTGGTTGTACTAAACATGGGTGGAGTTTTTAAGGTTGTAATATGAAATCATAATGATTAAAACAACATTGATGATGATGGCTGATGATGATGGTGTTTGATGATGGTGTTTGATGAGGTGTGATGATAAAGATAATGGTGATGATGATAATGGTGATGATGATAATGGTGATGATGATGATAATGGTGATAATAATGGTGGTGATGATGATGATTAATTAATAGGAATGCGACGGTTCTGAATTCCAAGAGTCACTAAAATTCTGACTTTTAAGATAAAATGTTAAAATTCTATAAAAAAATATTTGCGATTAACAAAGGGTCGATAACCACATTTTAAAATCTTTGATTTAACTTTTTAGACTCAATTAAAATAAAAAAAATTGTTATATAATGTGTCGACTGCTAATGATGCAGGTTATGTAGAGCACAATTTTTTCAACAATATGTATTTTAAATAACACGTTTAAAATTATGAATTGTTACTAAAATTAAACCAAACCAATTATACAATTAGACCAAACCTACATATACCAAAACGAAACGAAATATCAATACAATGGAAACTATTGAAAACGTTGAAGTTTGGTAGGCAATTGCCAATAATATGCACCTAAATGTATGTAAGCTGGAAAATTAGAAATTGTGCAGATTAAAAAAAATTTTATTTCGGGGTTGCTGAAATTTTGTATATCTCCGTTGTTCCCTACTGATAACGAGCATCTCGCACCTCTCTGCACTATGTTATCATGCATTTTACATGCCAGACAAAAAATGGCGGTTTGGGATTATTTCTTAAGTGCCGATGATGAAATGAAAGTGAAGTAGAAGATAGATGCTTCAAGAACAGCTGTGGAATGGCACCAGAAAAAGGCTTAGTTTCTTGTGACAAGAACTCATTCTGGAGGATCTGCAACAGACAATGACCACCCAGTTTGCATGAAAAAACTTATTTTCAAGAAACCCAAATAGCCGCCATAGACTGCAGATGGAAAATATTAAGATGCCAACATTCCTGTACGTGTGCCTACTGTGACGAGAGGTTAGCCGCCAGAATAACTGGGCAATGTTTACAGACTGTTTACAGACATTTTCATTCAAATAGTTTCATTTCAACATTAAAAAATTGAGTTCAATAAATTTGTCATTTTCACTTCATAGTTTTTACTTTTAATAGCGCTGTTACGACAAAGTTAAATAACATTGATTGAGTTTTGTTTAAGTGGAGTTTTGTTAGAGTTGAGAGAAGCCAATTTGAAATGCACATTCAGCAAATTGGATTCGGTCGGATCCGTACGAATCCACCACCACCTGGATTCGGTCGGATCCGTACGAATCCACCACCACCTGGATTCCACTCCAGGTAACCGGTTGTTGGATCCGTCTCATTCCCTTATAGTCAATGATGATAACGATGGTGATAATGATGATGATGGCGATGATGAGGATGGAGGTGGTGGTGGTGGATGAGAATGAGGATGGTGGTGGTAGATGGGGATAGTAGTTTATGAGTATGGGTTGTTATGAAAATTTGAACAAAGATAACGGTGTATGACTCTAACTGATGGTGATTACAATGGCAATATTAAATTAGCAACAACAACAACAATAATAATAATAATAATAAATTAATAACAACAATAATAATAATAACAAGAATAACAACAACAACAATAATATCAACAAAAACAACAATAATAATAATAACAACAACAATAATACCAATAACAATAATCTCTTCTTAATGACGATGGTGACGGTGTTGATGAGAATGATGATGATGATGCGTTGTAATGGAGCTCGAAATAGAGGCGCAGGTTGTTGGAGTAAGGAGAATAGATGAGGCCTTCCAGTTGCATTCATCACCTTATTTATTTCCATGTACTGCATCTTTTTTATTTCATCACTGCTCTCATTTTTAATGCAAATTTATTTTTGGGTTTTTTTTAAACTCAATGGAATGCAAGGTTTCCCCATTCTATTATTGTTATTATTATTATTGTTGTTGTTGGTGTAGTCGTTGTTATTGCTATCATTATCATCCACACGATCATGATGTATTATTGTTATTATTTTTGTTTTTGTCGTTATTATTATTATTATATTATTATTATCATCATTATAAATTTCCACAACAATTAAAATTTTTTTAAACTTTTAATTGAAGCTTTTGAAATTTCTGCAACAGTTCCATCCAATCAGCAATCATTATAATGACAGGCGCGCTTCTGTTCCGTTATGACTAATTGTTCGATTCAAATTATTTTTCATTGCCTCGCTTTCCATTCGCACATTCACAATCGCCAGCAGTTTTATAATTTGACATCAATTTTCCACTCCAAACAGCCAATCCAGTCAGTGCTTATCTTCCGTGGTCTGATGAATATTTTTTTAATTCAATGACTTTCTTTTCCAATCCCAGCTAGTCTACTGTTTACTGATTGATTGATTGATTGATAAATTAATATATAGATTGATTGATTGATGGATTCGTTGATTAATTAATTAATTGGTTGATTTTGATTGATTGATGTTCGCCTGCACGATCTGCCCACCGGCCAAATAAATTGTTATTGAACATAAAAAATTCTTCAAATAGGTATTCATTATTTCATGCCAGTATTGTATTGTTCAATATTTGAAATATTTTTTCAATCTTTCTCTCTCTCTCTCTCTTTCTGTCTCTCTTTTTAGATATAGATTTATATGTGTGTGTGTGCGTGCGTGCGTGTGTGCATGTGAGTGAAGAGAGACAGGAGAAAATATTTTAGGTTTGAATTGCAGTTATAAAAGTTATAATTAAAAAACTGAAAAACTCTTAAAATAACGTAATAATCTCATTCAACAAAGTGTACATATACCATATATATATATATATATATATATATATATATATATATATATATATATATATATATATATATATATATATATATAGTTATATTTATAAATTACATTACATATGATTTATTCAGTTATATTTATTGGTGTATTTCATGTCTGTGTGCATACATATTCATTCGCATTACAAATGAATAATTACAGGCAAATGCCATCCATGTCTTTAACTTTTTAACTTGTCTGTTTTAAATTTAAAAAAAATCTTCACAACAAACACGTGAGCAGTGATGTAAGCGTGTATTTGGATTGGATGGATGCGTGGTGGTATGTTCCATGCAGTGCATCTGCAATTCTGTGCATGTGAATGCATGCATCTGTATGCATTATTTGTTGTTGGAGCTCACGTTCATAATTGTTAACGCTTGGGTAAGTGCTTGTGTGTGTGTCTTTTGCGTGTTTGGCTTGTATCTTGCGTTACGTGCATTTAAATGTTTACCGTTGCGTGTTGTTGTGTGGAAGGGCGTGCATGTTATAGAAAGATCAATATGTCTTCATTCATTTAACGGATTTTCGCAAAGTAACATGTCGAGTTTCCCAGCAGTGATGTTGCTGTTTCACTCAGACGGAAAGGCCATTATGTATGTGCGTGCACGTTTGTGTGTGTGCGTGCATGTGTGTGCGTGAATATATGTGTGTACATTCGTTTTTGTGAGTGGTAATTTACTGAAAGATTTTTTGTATGCACATGAATCACAGTGTCACGCGGGCAGAACTGGATGTTGATGATAATAAACTTTACACAACTGACTCATTACATGCAGTTCACGTCTTCATTTGCATGCATGCATTAATTCATCGTGAGGTAACAAACGTGTCAACAGAATGAATAGGTAGGTATGCAACATCTCGCCATGTAGCACTCTGAGCACTTGAGTCGCAAGCACGTATGGCTTCGTACATACCTGCTCGGATAATTGCATCATTTAGTTATTTCATGGTGTGTTTGCATGATGAAACATGTTATTCACTTGTCGCTTTCATGTTGCTCGACCGCCCTGCAGCCAACAACGAGACGTTAACGATCAGCAATGTGAGGCACATCATTGACACTGGTGCCTACAAGTGCTTGGCGAGCAACCACGCGGCAATCAATCAAGATATTTCTACGGTCTTCGTCGAAGAAGTCGATCTACCTGTTGACTATTTCAACGCTGGTTTGTTGCTGTTGTGTCGTTGTTTTGTGTAATGTGGTTGTTGTTGTGTTCGACTGTGTTTTGTTGTTGTTCATTTGCTGTGCGGTTTGCGTGGTCGTGTAATTAGTTGTATCTGTGGGGTGTTGGCTAGTAGTTTTAGTTAGGTCAATAGTTACGTTGTTGTGTTGAATGTAAGGCTACGCCGAGGTCTGAGTTTTTCAACATGTAGACTTTCGGATTTTTAATTTTTTTAAAGTTTAAAGTTGTATAAAAATCAATAAATCTAACAATGGAGATGATAACAGATGATAGAATTTAACATAACTAGTCTCGAGCTAATGGTAGAATGATTTAACATTTTTTTTATTTGGTAGGCTCTCTCAAAAGTTAGATTATTAATTAAAATTTTCACATTAAAGTTGATTAATGAGCTGTTGAGGCTGTACAAACGGTAGAAAAAAATTTGCATAAATATCATCTTTTAAGATTCAGTTGCAACATTAACAACACATTTTTAAAATTTGCTACAAGCACTATCACTGCCGTAATTTATTTGCGATGCATCATCAACGATATGATCAGAGGGTTATCAGTCTTCTGCATTTCATCACAAACGTTCAAAAAACTTTCTCAAAATTTTTAAAATGTAAGATGTGCAAATATTTTAAAATTAGTTGAGCTGTAAGAATTAAATAACATTTCATTGAACTTGCAGGCCTGAAGCAAGAAGATGTGTATGTGATCTTCAACGAGGAAGGCTGCTGGCTCATGGATCCTGACAGGTGTGGACTGCATTTCATTGAACCAACAAAAATCCGGCAGGATGTTCAACATCACTTCAAACAATCTTTCAACAACAGCAAGGTTTTGCTCAATTTTGTTGCATGTATATGTTTTATAAGATTTTCTCCTTCTTTCTTTTTTTCTTTTTCTCTGAATTTATATACACTTAAGAAGTCCATTTTTCATAGAGCATTAAATTTATCGCCTTTTTACAAACCATCTAGCAGCTTGGTTATTTTTTGAGATTATCAAATATGGCTAAAATAATTTTTTCACCATATTGGCTTCATAAATTTGCTTACATAATAAAACATTCTTATTCTTTGAAAATGAAGCTGTGGATAATTTATCGATAGTTCGATAGTTTTTTTTTTACATAAACTCAAGAAATGCCTTTAATCCAACTCATTATAGGCTCTCTACAAATCTACGATGCACCACTTGCTGCACCTGAGCTTTGTAAGCAATTTATAAATTTTTATAATTAAAAAAAATGCAAACAAATTGTAAATTTTTAAAAATGTGTTTTTCTGGCATTTTGGTTCAAAAATAATTTCATAATATTAATTAATCTTTCAATGAACACAAATGCTAAGTTCCTTAGCAGCATTTACTCGCTGTATCCTCTTCAGTTCTGTAGCTTGTAGCATATCTTATTATTAGATTTGTTTGGTTCATGTATCCATCCAATATCTGGTCTACCGTTTAAAGTCGTACAAAAATGATTTCTCCGTTAAAATTTTTTCCTAACGTTGTCTCCCAGTAGCTCTATAATTTTTTTAAATTGTTAGCCACAAAAAGGTAACACTATGTTTATTTCCTATTTCAACATTAAATACATATACGTACCTTTAGCACAGAGTCGTGTTCAGCCAACAAATTCACCAGCTCCAGAAATTGCCTCAATTTTTTAGCAAATTGATATCTGTCTGTCTGTTGAATTAGTTTATAAAATTAGAAAATTGCCGCCCTTTAAAATGTGCTTCCAATGCGGACAAACCCCACTGCCCCTTCCTTCTGACAATACAAACCTGGTTCTTGCTACTTAAACTTAAAACTCCATCAAAAGTAGACTGCGATTGCAATCATCAAAAACTTCCATAAATAATACGATATAATTTATCGTCTGCTGTATTAAGTTTTTTTTACAGAAATTTGTCAGTTTTGTGTTCTATTTAATTGTGTTGTAACAATATAAATCATGCAGGCCCTGTTGAAAACAATTTTTTATGTAGAAATATTTAGGCAAGTTCAGGCAGTTTTCAAACCTATATTCCAAAATTAAGAACAGCCAGATTTGTTCATACAAGTGCTCAATTAAGCAAGTACGATTCAATTATTAGAAAGCTATATTATTGTAACTCTTGAATCTCGTAACTACCAACACCATTGTTATAACTTCAATGATCTCTATATTTCCAACACCAGAGTTGTAGCTTCCTACGATCGTTAAGTTATCGTTGTTCCGTAGGTTCAAGTTTTTCGATAGATGAATACAACTGCTTCAAAGGCAAACTTTGTTGAACGTTTATTTGAATGCCAACAGTAATAGAAACAATAAACTAATCCAAGTAACTACATAAATCACATCTGCGAGCTCGCTTTCTCTGCTGGAAACATGACTAGAAACCTGACTTATGCAGGGTGTATAGACCGATTTTACATCTATAGATACAATATTTCTTTACACTCTATGGTTTACAATCCAAAAATTACAAATAAAGCAAAGATAACAATAATTAGAATAACAAATAATATAGCGCATTTCGATCATTTCCGCGGTTATAACAATAAAAAAGCATTTAAGTTTAAGAAAAATTCGAAGCGATTTTGAAAAGGAATTTTTGAAGACTGACATTACAGTCATATACAATATGAAAAAATATTTTCATAAAAATTCATAACAGTCTAGTAGTTATTTCATGAATGAACAAATTTTTTCATTTTTTAAAACAATCCGAAAAGATGTTCAGGCAAATTTATCAAAAAAGCGCAATTCAGCATTACGGAAGCTAGGCTGTTGAAGCTTCAATGGTTGAATGATTTTTCTGTTCAAATAACTTTCAGGTTTTTTGTTTATTGGCGGCGCTGATTTGCATATTTCCACGCGTCATTTCCTGCCTATCTGCAAACAACGGACAACATCAGTGGCTTGGCTTTGTCGTGTCTTTTCATTTAAGAGGCTTCAAAAACTGACTTTGAACAAAGTTTCCGTCATTCTGAACTCCGATAAAAAATATTATTGCGACCGTATGCCAGCAACAAAGGCTACCTATTGACCAACAGTCACAATGCTATTAGATTACTTAAATATTATAGTGATATATTGTCAATGTTTTGATTTCATTATCAAGATTACGCATCATTTAATAATTAATTTAATTTGCATCAAAAGTTGCAGACCTCTTTCTAGAAACAGTTTATTTTATCTTATCTGTAAGAGACAAATTAACACATTAAAATTAAAAACATTAACAAACAAATGAGAACTAACTGACTTACTGACAGACGGACCGACCGATTTACTGATTAACTGATTGGTTGAGAAAACTTTTCTCCAACTCCAGATTTCAATCATGTGGACGTCGGTTGCGTTGGTCAGGAACACGTTCATATATGCTCTCGTTCAACATTCACCTGCCATCTATCGAATCGACCTTCGCTACAAATTAACAATTGCCGAGGTTTCGATTCTCTATTTTGAATGACCATTACTTAATTAACACAGCGATGATGATTCGCCAGATGAATTAGATTTTCTTACTTTAATTGCTACTTTATGTGACTCTACGAATGAACTTTATGTGGTGGCTTCTGTTGTTGCATTCATTAGCTTTATACATTTTCTCTTCTCATATTAGTCATCATCGTCGTCACCATCCACATAGTCCTCATGTTGTCATCATAATCACCCTCACCATCGTCATCATCATCTGATTCATAATGATCATCACCTGAGCGCAGAGGATAGGAACAGGATCATGTGATCCGGTGCACGTGCATTACGTGGAGTGGATGGATCAGTTGTGGGTGCAGTGCCATCATGATAACGATGCTGGCGACGATGATGACGATGGCGTTGAAGAAGATGCTTATAAAAATGATGCTGGTTAATATTAGGACAGTATGGGGGAAAATATTAATTGTTGTTATTGCTGCTGTTGTTGTTGCTGCTGTTATTGTGTTGTTGCTGTTATTGTGTTGTTGTTGCTGCTGTTATTGTGTTCTATTGTCTATTGCCTTTGTTGAATGAATGGGCTTCAACCTGCCTACATTTATACGATCCAACAGAATAACATTTCATTTGCTCATAGATAACCGACATGATGCAACCTCTTACGATGACGATGTCCATGTTGACAGTGATGATAATGATGACGGTGATAACAACGATGACGGTGGTGATAACGATAACGGTGATGATTATGATGGTGGTGGTCTCGGCACTTACGAAGGAAAAAGTAGTTCCAAGGTCAAGGGTCAGAGCAGGAAGAAAAGCCAGCAGAAAATAAAAAATAAGCAATTGAGCACGAAAGGTTCGTACGATGTCGGTGCTTCGCGCCATGGATGGAAGGATGCAGACGACGGTCATGATGACGATCACGACAGTCCTAATTATCATAACTACGATGACGTAGCTGCTCCTGTGAATGACTGCAATGATCATGATGATGATGGTTGTGCAGACGGAAGTGATGATGACGATGGAGCTATGTACTACGGATTGAAAGTTTTAATTGTGGAGCATGCTGCTGTTGATGTCCACCACCATGCTACCTCGTTGAAGAGAATTTTAACGGGAAGATGCAGTGGAAAAAATGGACAAAACAAAAAAACCAGCAATCGAAATTTATTTTCAAGTCCTATGGACAGTTCAAGGTTTGAAAAAAATGTTAACGACCAGCTTGTAATTGACGTTGAAGTTGATAGCAACACTAACGACTCCACCAACAACGTCATCAAAAACATACCAAACAACATCTCTAACTTCATTCACAACGAAGAACGCAGACAACAACAACCACTGCTCAAACACAAACCTTTCAATTATTCTCACTCTACTCCTCTCTCACGACAACAAAATCCCCACCACAAAACTACTTTTGCACGTTTTCAAAGACAACAACAAGCAACAAACAACAAAAACTTCAAAATCTTCTACCCACAGTCTAATGATTTCTTAGCAACCTGGAAACATCTGTACGTTTACAACTCTTCTGATCAGTCTCTTTATGAGATGACCTTACAGAAATATCACGACGACGAAACATTTGCAACAACGCAAATAATTCAAAATGATAACAACAAAATTTTCGATAAGTACGACGAAGACGAGAGGAATGACAGTCCCCATCGTAAGGTTGTCACCAAACTGAAAAACCTGGAGGTCAGTGATGGAATAAAGAAAGTGCTGGACTTTTCCGAGCACGCGTGCATCCCAAGCCAACTGCACCACATCATCTTCGGTTCGTTCATCTTCAATTTTTCAACCGCCATCTTCATTTCTGTAATGATAAGAATTTCTTAATGTCATTCATTATCAGTTCAGATGTTGCTTTTAAAATTTAATGATTTTTTGGTAATTTTTATAAATTTAACTCATAACTGTATCAAACAAATGGAACAGTGTTCATTTTGAACAATCCAAAAAGCACACAACACCACATCACGTCATTTTTAGATATGCTACACACACACACACACCACACACACACACCACACCACCACACATCACATCCTATTTCCACACTGCATGTGCGCAACAGTTGGAAAGAAATATTTTACGTTTGAAAGAGGTCACTGCATAACTGTAAATAAAGTAAGCGGATTGAGACGCCCGCCCAAAATATCATTTCCTACCAAAATAGTTGCAACTTCCAGCCTGCTACTGTTTTTCATCATTTATTTTTTACTGCTTATTCTAATAATTTATTTTATATTAATATCAAAAAGTTGTCTGCGTAAAATTTTAATTTTGACATTACGCATTATCAAGGCGGGAAAATATTGGTGGAATGTTTGGAAGTGGAGAACCTGCCGTTGTTCGCTAGCCTTAAACAGAATCAGCAACCTGAAAGTTTCGAAGAAGAATATTCAACTGAAAATGCAAACAAATCCACCAACACATTCAAAGAGAGACAACAACACAAACGTAAACATCAACAACGACACACACACGCAAGAACTCGTTACAAATACCTCTCATATGACGTCATAACCCAGCAGGCGGATGATCTGACGTCAACGATGCTTCAGAGTTCAGGCTACCAACTGTCGCCAGATTGTCGTCTGCTGGTCGGACTGTCGGATGACATGTCGAGTTTCATCGCTTATCGCGTGACGATGAATGGTTGGTTTTTAAAGTTGCGCTCATTAGTTAATTCGCATGTCACTTGTATTTTAATTCACGTTGTTTCATTTATTGAAATTTATTCGATTGAACAGTAAATGTCGCGATGCAACTATCACATCACAGCATTTTTCTATTTTAAATTTTATTATCCAGACCTTAAGAAATGCACGCCCCATAATTTACAAATGTTTGCGTATGCTAATGCCGGCAGCCAGTACAAGTTCATCAAGCAAACTTCAAGTATATAAATTCGAAAAAATTGTATGAAAAAATTGAATAAAATTGTTGAGAACAGGAACACTGAATGAAGTCGTCCACACGGCCGTCATGAACTTCGTGATGACGAGCATGGCGTTCGTTCGATCGAGCAGAAGTAACAACGTGCAAAACCATCTGAACAACTTGCAGACCGACGATGACAAATACGAACACGCCATCCACGAAGATGTTCCAACTCAATATGACGTGGTGGTCAGCTGTGCCGGCGAGGAGATGTTGAAGTTTCAAATGGACAGTCCTGACGTCACCATCATATCGAAGTGTTAGGCAGAACTGCTACTTTTTTGCTCCTATTTTTAAGTTGCTGTTATAGTGTTTGATTAAATGCGATCTTCTTATTTGTTCCAGAAACAATTTGGACGTAGCAACCATTTTAATCACAACTTCTTTTTTTGTCTCTTTATCCCACATCGGCATTTTAGTTTTACACAATGGTCCTGATTTTAATGTTATTTTGGAAAATATGCAGCATTCAAGCGTGGCACGAGCAGCCAGGAGAAATCTCAAAACAAGGAAGAACTGTCATTGGACAGCGGAGACCATGGCAACTTTATAATGAGGTCATTAAAAAACGGCGGTCTATCAGTAGTTGACCTCGGCAGAGAAGTCATCAAATGCAACTGGCCGAACATCAAAATCGATCACTACGTATGGGTTACTTCGAATTATTTCTAAAGCGAATCGAGAGAGAATTCCACTTGTAGTTTCTAAAATATTGACTGACATCGTTTAGCTAAGTTTAATTGATTTCAATACAATTTTATTTGATTTCGATATAAATCTTAATTGATTTCAGTATAAGTTTTAATTGATTTCAACATAAATATTAATTTCAATATAATGCATGTTAATGTGTTTTCGATAATAATAATTTATATCTGTTGTCAATTTGCTGTAGATCGCCCGCCCTACTACACTCGCGTAGACGTTGGATATTGTTTGCTAACATGCTTATAAATAATTATTTGAATTATTTATTTTCATTTCTCGTTGAATTTTAATTTTCGCATTTAAAAGTAAATATTTTTTATAAATACATTTTACAAGAAGAAATTATTATTTTTCTAACATTTTTACATTTTTTGAGATAATATATGCTGAAAATTTAATCAAATTGATCTATTAACTACTAAATGAAATAAACTAATGCTCCAACAAATAAATATCCTTTGTGATGTTATCTAATCATGGCCGATGCAATTCATAAACTGTTTTTTAATTTAAATTGTTGTAGCTAATGAGTTTGTACGATGTAAAAATATTTTCATATAAAAATTAAACTTTATTCTTTATATAAAAATATAAAATTTTACACATTTAGCGTGGTTTTAAAAAAATCTTTCATTTAAAAGGCTGAGTGTGGCTCGTCAGACCATTTCATGCAGCCCGCCAACATTTTTGTATAAACCAGATTTTAAAAAATTCGCATTTGAAAAAAATTAATATTTGCGTCTATTTTAAAAGCTCTTTAACCATAAACAATTCTTACACGTGCAAAACCTTCATTCGCCCGCCGGACAACCACGTAGCGATTTTTTCATCGTAGCATGGGATAAAAACGCGATGGTAACAATGCTTTTAATTGATTTAAGATTATTTTCCAATGAACGACAGTTTCAGGCAATCATTCTAAATTAGTTACATAAGGAACATCATTAATAATTCTAAAGCAATGCTATGAAAGGTCAGGTATTGGAAATGTACATTTTTAACAGACGAATATCACTACAATAGGTGTAAATGTTCCGGTTATTTCTGAAGGTCGTTCGCAATTGAATCGTTAGCCACGGACATCATGATGGACGCCAGTTGGTTCTCCAGCTGCATGCTCTCCTTCAAATCATTTAACATTCAAATGATGTTTGAAAATTATTGAAAATGAAATAATTTCGGGAATTAAATAACTACAATTCCATGTATATGCAGATGTGTCTCGTTATATCTCAACAATTATAAACAGCAGTAAGTTCAGTTAACTTATAAAAAGATTAAAACAATGTATAAAAATAGTTCATTAAGACTAACATCCATTCGTTGTTCATCGTCGGTAAACAACAATGAAGCATCATGTTTGGAGATAATCCCGCCCCTTATATCGTCCTCAATTTTTGATTGGTCGGCCGTAGATTCATCAAACATCGTCGTCGAATCAGACGCCTGTATCTCGGGCTCATTATAATGAATGCTAGTAGTGCTTGAGCTGTTTGTTGTTGGTGGGGTGAAAACTGTTGGACGCGTTTCTCGCTGACTGACGTTCCTGCTCACCGCATCCATCGACAACAAACTCATGCACACACCATCCAACTGCATCATGTTTTTATTTGGCAGACTCCCTTCGTGCATGTCGTTCGTGTCAGAATGTGGTAGTGGAGTTAATCTTAATAGTTGTGATAGAGTCTTTGAACTGTCTGCTGCTGCATTTAACGTTTTATCGATTGAATTGTTAGAACATGAAATGCCGTTGTTTGTGGTCTTACTCTGGTTTTCAAAAGTTTGATCTTGCAAAATTTCAGCGGAACATTCATCAGAAACAACGCCGAAGTCATCAAGCTGTCCTCCAGCAGCTGTCAGCTTCCCATCCCCGTCTTCCTTACAAGCGCCAACTTCCATCATTTCAACATCATTTAAAACGCAATTCTCATTTGCCGCGTCAGCATCATCATTGCCCGATGAGTTTTGTTTCTCACAGGAATGCCTATCTATAACGTCTTTGCAATTATTTAAATTAACTTTATCGTTGTTGCTAATGCTAGCGTTGAGTGATAGTGAGCTGCTTTCGACATATGACTTGCTGCAACCATCATCATCCACATCCATACAGTCACTGCCGTTAGCCAAACAATTGTTGTTATCGCTGTTTTTATTATTATTTTTATTATTATTTTGATTATTATCATTGTTGTCTTCAGAAAATGTTATTTCCTTGCTTTGGTCCATATCAGCTCCATCTTGCTGTTGTTGGTTGTACATCTGAAGAAAGGTTAGGCTACTCGTATTGTTGTTGCGGTCGTTGATGTTTCTGACATTGTTGTTGTTGTTGTTGACGTTTCTGACATTGTTGTTGTTGTTGTTGACGCTTCTGACATTGTTGTTGTTGTTGATACTGTCCTGGTTGCCTGTTGCATCAAGAGACATTCAAATGCAAACAAATATTTATAATCAAAACAACTGATGTTGAATCAATGATGGATGGATACAAATTGCGATAAAAAAGTTAGGGTAGGTAAGAGGCGTACGTGTGTTACTTTGTACTGTTTTGTAGCATGCATTGCGTTGTGAATGTTTAGGGTCAATTTTGAGGTTGAAAGTGGGCGGGGCTAGGTCCGATGATGTTTGTCAATTATGTTAATGATTGAGTCGATAAATCTGGTGTCGGTTTACATTTACGATTTAAACGCAGAAGAGTCATCGCAGAAAACGCAGAATCATCCAAACGAGCACTCCTTAGGAGTGCTCGTTTGGATGATTTTTATGAGAATTACATCCCATGCTGATTATTGTTGGAACGAACAAACTTATTAGTTCGCACCTCCTATAAGCATTGTTATGTTATGCTACGTAATGAGCGTTACTTCGCGGTGATTAAGACTTACCTCTAACAAGCAGTTGTTGGTTGCAATGTGATACTTGTGTACATACAAACATACACGTACACAACTGTGTAATTGAGAAGGATATACCATGTCATCTATGTACTTTCATTATTATGTGAATGAATGTTAACTTGGTAAAATTTACAATATAAAAGTCTATCTGACCATGTATTAATCCAACTATCTATTTTCACAATCCAGTGAATATGTCCTACTGCTCAATAATGACATGCAATCCTTCCAGTACTTCATCTCAGCAGCATCAAAACTTTCCAATCATCAGTTTAGACTCTTCAATTTAAAGCAAAAGTTCATTACACATCATTTTAATTCAAGTTCGTGCAGACATCAGCACTTCTGAAGTTTTAAGAAAGCAAAGAAAAGAACATTTGAATGGAAGAACTGAGCAACATGACGAACCATGAGGTGAATATATGAATGGAAGAACTGAGCAACAAAACGAACCATGAGGTGAACATTTGAATGGAGGAACTGAAGAACATGATGAATCATGAGGTGATTATTTGAATGAAAGAACTGAGTAACATAACAAACCAGGCAGAGTGTGGGAAGAGGTGTTGGCGTTCTTATCTTCATCACCAGCAGCTGCAGCGACGTTATTAATTCTGTGTTTACGTTTGTTGACAGTGTTTGATTCATTCTTCTGGTTCCCTGGTCCATGTTCATTATCTTTCAAAATCTGTGTCTTTGTTCTCTCTTTCATTTGATCATCTGTCTTCTTCAACGACGCCATCTCTGAGGAGAATGTCTGCAATGCAAGAAATTTTAAAAATTTATCAGGCAACAGAATGAATACTCAGGCAGTTTTGCGTCATCAGAACATTCGGCTCCAAGAAAGCCAAAATTAAAATTAAATTAATCAGTCTAAGATTAATTAAAAACAATCTGTAAACAAATTATGCCAAACCTGATAAGCTATTTAAAGTTTTGAAGTAGCGAAAAGTTGTGCTAACCTTAACTGAGAAGTAATACCAACAATAAAGACGTGAACAATGTGATATGTAATGTGAACAATGTGATAAGAAATATGAAGAATGATAACAAGAAATGAATGATTCAACAAGGCGTGTAGAACATACTCTGGTGAATCTGAAGACATCATCTCCAACCAGGAACAATCCTTTAAATTTTGAGTACAGAAATTCAGCTTTCAATCTTATTGCTTCGTTGAACTGGTAACGACGACACTGCAATGTGAAGGAATGAAATTCTAGAAAAACAACTCTTTATAACCAGTGGGGTTGTAACTGAGAACTAAAAATAACATTAAAACAACCAACTCATTTGAACTTTATAAACATTAATTAAATATTCAGCCAAGAAAAAGTATTATGAATTAGCGTCAGGTGGTCTCAAGTTTGCCCGAAAAATTAAGATGTCAATAACAAAGCAGAACCTGTCCAGAAAAACTGAAAAACTGTACCCAGAGCACTGGTATCTAATAATAAAAAAACCAGATGGAAATTTTGCAGCAAGTCCAGCTGGAATCTAAAGAAGAAAATTCTACAAAACATGCTAAAAAAAGATTGTGTTAACTAAAGCAGAGCAAATCAAACAAGCCGTAAAGAGAGATTAGTAAAATAGTAAGACATGTTGGGTGACGTGGGTAAAAATGAAGCAGAACGTGATGCAGAAACGATGGAGAGCAAAAGAATAAGAACTAATGGATACATTTGCACGTTAGTGAAGGTTAAGAACAGTCATGAGGCAATGTTAGTTAGGTAAGTCAAGTGGATGTGAGTTAACTTTTTTTAACAATACTTGTTCTTTTTGAATATATGGATGGGTGAGGAACGTTAAAAATGGCAAAATATTGTTAACGATCATAACAAATGCAACAGATTAACATCTACAAACAAATACAAATATTGGAATGCATTGTTTACGAACAATAATGCACTACCGACACGAATGGCATGGCCCCGGCCACAATGAACAACAAACACAATCTTCGCATAATAATCAACCACCGATTTTTAGCAACAACCACCACAACAACAACAGCAACAGCAGCCACAACAAGCACAAGCTCATCACCTTCTTGACAGTGAGGATGATGTCAGGATTCTTCATCAGGAGAGATCCATTGAGAGGCAGGCCGTCCAACTCTTGCAGCAGACTCAAACACTTCTCTACGTCCTGCAGTTCAGTCAAAGTTAACATCATCGTCATCAGCGTCATCATCACTCTGCGATGTTTAACTACTTATCATCATCATTGTAACAGCCAACTTAATAATAATAATAACAACAACGAATATATAGCATCTTTAAAACTGCATTACTAAAAATGACAAAACAGTCATAATATATAGAAATTCGTAGTAAATAATGCATATTAATCTAACATGAGATTCATTTTCAAAGTAGAGAGCTATTTTGATGTCCAGTTCAATTTGAGTGAGTTTCAATTCCACCTGGTGCACTGCAGTGGAGAAGGGATTCACGTCATTTTGAATCACATTATGAGAGCGGAGCATGAATTATTATATCCTTGAGAAGATTGCATACCATCACTCTCCATTGATGAACAATTCCATTGCCACAAAATGAATGAACTCAATTTTATATTTGAAACACGAGCTAACGCTGTTATACTGAGCGTGTATCCCAACAAGGGATAAAAAGTATTGACTACATTGAACATAGCAGTAAACATTCTCTAAATATATCTATTTCCTTTAATACATGAATCATAATTAAGCTCTACACACTGACTTGAAACCATTTATCATTTTTAAAAGAAACAATCGTACGACGCAATTAAGGGCTTATAAAAATGATTCCAACATAAAAAATAATAATGAAAGAATATAAAAACATGAGGCCCAGTCATGAGACTAACAGTAAATTTCTTCTTGTTCATGTTTGGCCTTTAAAGCTTCCAGCTGCTCCTTACTCTTCTTTTCGATGAATGACATTATATTATTACATCATCAGATTTATATTAATTGCATAAACACAACATGATCAACAGGTAGGATGTTGGCCATTCGAATGCTTACGTGACATTTATTTGCAACGAATCGTGAAGAAAAATTAAATGAATGACAGTGAATGAATGATTGGACGGATGGATGGATGGATGGACCTAACCTCCTTCTCGTGCAGCCTGTCGTTTCTTCCACAAATTAATCAAATTTTTCTCAAATTAAAATAGGTATTTATATAAAATTAACAAAACACAAAATAAAACAAATACAAAAAAAAATTGTTAAAAATTAAAAAAAAACAAGAAAATAAAGTTGGAAATGAGAAAACACAAGAGACATGTATCTAACCTCTCTCTCATGGGTGATAATGAATGTTTCTGGATGTTAGAAAATAAAATTTAAAAGATTAAGGAACAAATCATTTTAAAGTATCGCATGTTGTTTTAACTCATAACACGCCACGAAGTTCCATAACTTGCAGTGTTATGTAATGGCCTAGTTCAAATACCTTCTGTATTAAATCCCAAATACCTAAATCCCAAAGACTATCAATTATTAAACTAAGATTATTAAAACTCTTTTTAAACTTAAACTCTTATTTATCTTTTTATTTAAACTCTTTTTATCTTTTCATTGCTTAAGCCACTCTTTAGCCTACTTCATTATTCCACAGCTCATCTCTCTCTCTCTCTCTCTCTCTCTCTCTCGCTCTCTCTTTCTATGTTCCTATTTTTTCTGCGGATATATACATAGAAACATTGTGATCCTATCCGTTTATTCATCTTTTACGAATTTATTTATTTTTTGTCTTTTCTTATGCAGCTCTGTCAAAAGCAGAACTGGATACTCTGTACATATAATCAAACTTTCGTGTCATAAGGGCTCTACTATCCACACCACACAAATATGCTTACACATTATGTATACACGCGCAAGCACTGCATCATACAAGAACGGCGTAGGAAAGGTTGAAAGAAGTGTTGTGAATAATGAATGAATGATGATGAATGAATGAATGATGATTGAATGAGAGGGAGATAAGGGAAAGAAACGTTTCTGGTAAAAATAAAGAGAATGCCAAAAAATAGAAGTAATTGTTGAGTTTGAAATCAAACTAAATAGAGAGGGCCTCAAGGAATATCAAAAGGTTGGAAGGCTGAAAATAAAACAAATTTTTGTTGAACTGAGAAGAGAAATTTCCAAGTATAGAAGCAATATAGCAGGAGCTGTTGTTTTCACCAGATATCTAATTAGGCCTTGGAATAAACTATAACCTGAAACATGTGCATATAATGGTGATGGTTGGATTTAATCCATTGTTGCTTATAATAGAACCTTGCAAAATAATAAAGAAAGGTAAATTCTAAAATATTTAAAAGTGAAAAAATAAGATTAAAGTTAAAAAAGCAAGAAATAACGATCAAACCCCACCTTGGTACCTGGAGCTGGAAGATAGGATTTGGGCCTCTTTCTGGTTGGAGATAACTGTTTGAAATAGTTCTAAATATCAACGCCTAATATTTTGACAATATATTTTAGAAAATAAAATTCATATGGCCCACAATGAAATATAAAATAATATAATACTCTTGCAGGCCTATAAATTAAACACAAGCTCAATATTAAACCTAGAGTGGATATTTCAGAAAATATTTTGTAAAAAAAATGTGAGCACTTCGTTGAATAATTTTTGATTTTGTTGGTGGTTAATCAATAAAAAACAATTATCCAATATGAAAAATTATCTTGAGAATTCTAAGCTAAAATTAATCAAACATTAAATGTAATTATGCTAGTATTCTGCAATAACTCATGTCACACGGAGTTGAGATATGTCCAGGAAGAAAAAAAAAATTTTCTTACATCATCGCCCAGATTTTCTGTTTGTTGTGAGTTTCTGCGTTTTCGTTTTTGAAACTGTGAAGACATACAATTAAATAGTAATATATAACTATTTTTATATTCTATTTTATCTTATACAGAAAAAGCTTTTACATTTTCAATGTTGTATGTAACATAACATAAAAAAGCTTTTTCTGTTTAAGACAAAAATGAATAACAAAGTAATTAAAACATTCTTTTTTGATGTAAATAAGTTTAAAAATGATAATAAAAATATGATCAAGATATTGAAAAATTGAACCAGAAACTGATCAACGCTGAAAATGCAGTGATATTTTTTAACAATTGTATCTATGATAGTCTTAATTCTAATTATATATATATATATATACATATATATATATATACACACATATACATACATACATAATTGTGTATGTACATATAAAATTACACTTATATAAATTATTAAAAAAAAAATTCATATTCACCTTGTTAGCATCATCATCAACATCACCGTCTGCTGTAACTCGGTCATCCTAGATGCAAGGCATTGATTTAATAATAATAATAATTATTATTATTATTATTATTATCATTATTTGATGCACCCCTCAACTTGTTGTTTACATCGTCAGGCAATTTTTGTTTATGTGTTTGTTCATTAATTATTTTGATTTTTCAAATCATTTATATTTTGTTTCCACAATAATGAAAATAAACAATAACAATAAAAACAATAATAACAAAAGGCAATAAATAACAATAATAATAATAATAATAAAAATGATTGCAGAATAATCCCTTAAGCTCACATCTACAAATGTTTAACAAAACAATAACAATTATTATTAAATAATTAATTAATTAATTAACTAACTAACTAACTGAATATTAAAAATAACTTGATGATATGAACATAATAAAGTCATAATAAAGATGTATAAGTACTAGATACTTCAACAGAAAATTTTAGAAAAAGTTGAGTGGATTCTAACTAATAAAATACTGATCAAAATAAATTTCTTTAAATTAGATCATAAAAATACTAACAATTCCAAGCATCAAGACATTTGGATTCTCAATGATTTCTTTCAGCCCTTCATTGAAAAATTTTCTGTTGTGTGGCTTGGCATACTGATCCTTGAAGAGATGATATGGGAAGATATCTTTTGGAGTCAGGAAGTAACTGCAGAATTAATCATGATCACATGAGACTGAGATTGGTTAAGATTAAATTTCAAGATACACATCCAGTGTAATAAAATTTCTCCATTAAAAAAAAAAAGAACAACGGAAACTGAGACGAATTTTTGAATTTGGCTTGAAAAACTCTTTAACAAACAATATTTAATACATCTAATAGCAAATTAAAAGTTTTTTTTTTGATCATCTTAAATACCGAATTATATATTAAATGTTTTAAACTTTTTTCACGTTCTCTAGTGCTCCGGGTTAAATGATGTCAAGAATGAAGTAGTCACTAGACGACCGCATATTAATTTTTGGGTCTTGCATAAACATGACTTTAATTCAAGATATTTATGCTATTTATTTTTTTAACATCAAAATTTGCCACCTCCTAAAATTTGCCACCCTAGGACTGAGCCTTTGTAGCCAATTAGTAAATATAGCTCTGGACAGAACCATATTTAAAATGTTGTAAAAATGAAAATATAGTAGCAATGAGAACATTGGTATAAATTTATATTAAGGTAGAGTTCACAATGGAGAAGATATTTATTTATTTATTTATTCACAAACAACCAGAGGATCTAAAAGACCACTTACCTAGTTGATAAAAAAGAAAAACAATTTCTCTAAACGTAACGTCAAGAAGATTAAATCTACGTAAAAATATTATTGTCGCTATCATCAATCAACATCATCACACAAACAACCAGTATGGCAAAGAACTTAACTAATAAATGTAAACACAGATTTCGGAGTTCATTGTTATCCATCAACATCAAAAAAAACAAAAAAATAAATACATATACATACACATACACGCATACACATATATACATAACATGCACATATATATAGAGAAGTTAATAATGGCATTAAATCACGAATAACATTAACATTTTTATCATAGAGCACGATAATTATGACAACAAACATTAATGTATTAGTTGTTTGATTAGTAAATATTTGGACAAGTCAACAGCCAGCAAGCGATTCTTGAAGATGGCATGAGATGTTGAGGACACCACTTCTTTTGGCAACGCATTCCATATACGTATGATTCTGTTGCAGAAGAAGTATTTGGATACGTTGTCGTTAGTATTTAATTCACGCAACTTATTCTGATGCCCACGAGTCGACACACCGGGATGAATTTCTCAATCAGATCAGATTGGATATTTTTGTTAAGAATTTTGTATAAAAAGCATAAGTCATAAATTAATCTGCGGTGTTCCAGAGTTTGCATTTTAACTGCTTGTAGTCGAGATAAATACGGTAAATGGTGTAATGAAGGAATTGATTTCGTGGACCTTCTCTGGACGTTTTCGATTTTTCTCACTTGGTACTTATAATGGGGGTTCCAAACAGAGGAACAGTACTCCAACTGAGGACGTACATATGTGCAAAATGCTTTGATGAGTAGGTTTTGATCTTTAGAGGTAAAACATCTGATTATTAAACGTCCATGTGAGGAAGCTTTGTGAATTATATCGTCGATATGTAAATTAAAATTAGTTTGCTTGTCAACTGTGACACCTAGATCCTTAAAGTAACATGCTGGTTTTAAAACGTGTTGACCAATAAAATACTGATGAGGAACATTAATAGATCTAGATGAATGAGAAAATGAACAATAATAACATTTTTCCGGGGTAACTGCCATTTGATACTCTAATCAACTACATCGTTGATTACTTGTTGAAGTTGAGTTGAATCGGATGAGCAGCAGTATAACTTGATGTCGTCAGCAAAGAGCAAAATTGAAACCGGTTTAGATGAAATACACTCAACTATGTCGTTTATATAAATTAAAAATAAGGTGGATCCCAGGACGCTACCCTGTGCAATACCACTAGTAACTGGCACAGACGATGACAACTTACCATGAACCCGAACAAGCTGAGAACGTTCATATAAAAAGTTTTTCAACCAGGTAAGTAAATTTCCTGAAATTCCATAAGACTGTAATTTACTAATTAGTTTTTTGTGCGATACGGAGTAGAAGGCTTTTTGAAAATCTAAGTAGACGGTGTCACAACACTCTCTTTGCTGACGAATCGACATCCAATCCCCGAGAAATTGTAGAAGGTTGGTGTTGGTGGATCTCTCAGGCAAAAAACCATGTTGAAATTGAGATATTAATTTATTGTTAGACATGTAAGATAACATTTTTTTGTCGATGATTTTTTCCATTATGCGACAGCAAGAACATGTAAGTGAGATTGGTCTGTAGTTGCTTGGGTAGTTAGTTGGTCCTTTTTTGTGGATGGGAGTCACAATTGCAGTTTTCCATTTAGCTGGCAGCATATTATTTTTGAAGGATGTATTGAATATATGACATAGTGGGACTGCTAGACTAGAAGCACACATCTTTAGTAGGATGTTCGGAATATCATCTAGTCCCTTCGAGGATGTATATTTTAGATTACGTAGAGCTGAAAACACTAGTTGGGGAGTGAAGCTAACATCGTTTAATGAATTGGTGGTACAACAAAGTAAAGTGCAGTTGCTGTTGTTGTCGTTGGTGAACACTGAGGCAAAATATTTGTTGAATGTGTTAGCCATCACCAATGGATCATGGGTAACACTGTTGTCGTTCAATTTCAAACTGCTAAGTTGTTGTCGAGAAAACAATTTTTTATTAACGTATCAATAAAAACTTCAAACATTAGTTTTTGCCAACAATCTTTGTTCATTGATTTTTTTAAAATGATTGGCCAGTTTTGAACATTTACGCATCATTGACAAATAGAGTTCTCTATCGTCAGAGGAAGATGTTATTTTCCATTTTTTCCAAAAATGAAGTTTGACTTTGTAAGATTGACGTAGCAAATTTGGAACTGTGCACTTGCGTGAGAAATTTGCATGACTCAGTAGGGGGACATACGTTGTCACAGCATTGTTGATTATTTGTTCAAAAAGTTCCCAGCAGGAGTTAACATCCATACAATACTGAAATCCCAGCCTATACTCGTCAAACAATTGTTCATAGAAGCAAAATCAGCCTTGGTGAAATCATAGAAAGATGTATCATTGTTAAAAACAACACCTGATGAGGTACTAGGTGCGCAGTTGACTGTAAATGTGAGACAGTTGTGGTCACTTGAAGCAAATGGGCAGGGAACATCTAACTCGGCCAGCAAGCTGGCATCATCACATAGAATCAAGTCCAAAATATTGTTTCCTCGAGTTGGTTGATCAACCAATTGGTGAAGACCCAATTCACTGAAGAGCAAGTTAAGGCAATACCAGCAAGTTATGATTGTGGTACGAAAACAGTAAAAAAAGTGTTTATTAGTCAACAGTTGCAGTGTGATGTTCAGAATATAATCAACCCGATCTATCATTTTGATGCATTAGATTTCTGTTAATTTACACCCTCTTACTGACATCTACTAAGAAGAAATCTTAAATTTGTTTTATTGTTGTAAGAGATATATAATAATTAAAATAACATGACACACACATACACACACACACACAACACTCCTTACACAAAGTCTTTCTGTCACGCATTAATATCTCACACATAAGGATATATATATATGCACATATTATAATATAATATTATTTTATTTTAATATATGATTAAACTTACGTTTCATGGGTTCCATAAAAAAAGATAGGATATTTCCCTTTGGGTATCAGAGCCCCTTCAGGTAATTTGTTTATCTTGAAAAAAAGAAAATAGTTGAAGTATCAATATTATATTTATTTTAATTAAAAGTATCTTAAAGAAAATAATAACAAATAAAAATTAAAATAAATAAATAAGAAAAAAAATATGAATGAAGAGCAAAAACTTATAAAATTGTTAAATTTTCAAATAGAAATTCAAGTTTTAAATTTGTTATTATTTATTATTAATTTTTTTGTTTTGTGACTACAAATTTCTTATATTACTAATAATAATTACTAATAAATAATAGTAACTAATTAATGTGTAATTATTAATTAGAAATAGCAATAGCCTATCTATTCCATCAAGTTATACTTTATAGTTTAGAATTTAGATGTTTTGAGTTAGTTAGACTCTAACTAATAACTAATAATAATATCATATAATAATAATAATAACTGAACATGTATTTTAATTTATTAATCAAAATTCTAAGAGTCTGAGTGGAAAGTTGTTACTGTTATTGCAAATGTAAAGTAAATCATAAATTATAGTATTAATAATGTAATCGGCAATCATAATAATTTTAAACTTAAAAATAATGTAAAGTAAATTCATATGAATAAATTGTTTCTGCTTAGTTTACAGTTTAGTGTTTAGTTTTTTTTCATTTTTATTATTATATTTGTTATATATATATATATATACACATATATTATAAATATATATATATATAATATACAATAAAAAATATTTAAAGTTTTTAACCCTGGCTGGCCAGTGTGGATGGCCTTTTACTTTGGCGAAAATCAGATCTCCCGGTTGATAATCAGTTTGAATCATATTTGCTAAAATGATTTAATTAACCAGTAACAAATTAAAATTTGTAATAAAAAAAAACTGTGAAATAATAACGAGCGATATGCCTAATATTGCTAGATATGCCTAATATCGCTACGACAGCAAAGAACCATGATAACATAGAATAAGTAAACAGGTGCCCATATGTTTATATATAATATAATATATATAAAATCATATACATAAAATATATACTCTATATATATGAATAAGATATAGAGTATATATAAGTACATATTTTCATTTTTTTAGTTTTTTTTATTAGGATGACAAAAACGAACCTTGTGAAAATAGCAGTAAAAATTTCCTGAACTAAAATCACAAAAAAATACGGATAGGCCTTAGCAAAAGGTAAAAATAAACAGCTATAGGTATTACACCGACTCATATATATAGAATATTCTATATATATTGACCGACTAAATAATGTTCTCAAGAGGAATGTTTGATATGAAAAGTAGATCGTATGGACCAATATTTTCTTAATTTTGTGTTTTCTTTCAACTTTTTAAATTTGAAATAAAAGTGCTAAAATTGCTAAAAGACCGCAACAGAAGATGCGGGTTCTTTTAATATTCCGTAGGATTGCATGACAGCGACAAAGTGTAACAGAAGCGGAGCAGATGTAATTAAAATATCCAGATTTTCAAGCAGTTATTAAAATTAAATGAGCGTTGCTTGCATGATCATGATAATCATCAACAAATGTTGTTTCCTAACAACTAACATACAACAAAAACAGCACATGCTGACTGGTTTCTGATGCCCCATCACCTCGACTTAATGATGATGCAGTTTTAAATATTTAGTGCTCTACAACAGAAACAGCGGCTGTCAGATTCTGATTTTTCTAAAAAAAACAATGATTAAAATAGGTGAGTGACTGTTTCTCAACACCCATGTAAGTTAAACACATTTGTTGGCCGAGATATTGATAGGAATTCCGCAAAATGTCTTATTTTATTTCATTCAAAAGCACCGACATGGTATTGCTGAAAAAAAGTACAAATGAGGTCACGTCTTTATTAAGTATATTTCAAATATTTTATTGTGACAATGGATTTTAATAATAAATTATGTTCGTTTTAACGAACAAAAAAATAATAACATAATATAATAACATTAAAACGCCTAAAAAGCATTTAAAATTTCTAATAAGTTCACTGAATGAAAATATATCAAAATATTTTACTCAACACAATAAATCATCATTGAAAATACATTGACCGTCCGTTGAAATTACATATTTTTGAGATAAACATTAAACTGAAGTTTTAATTGTGTAATCTTTAAAAGAACACAAATAAAATCCATTCGCTTGAAATTAATGAAATGATTTAACCATAATTGCACTAATCAGCTTATGTAACTCAATCGTATACAGTTCAATGATATCAATGATAGCAAGATGCAACAACAACACAATCCTTACCATTTATGTTCAATATTTACATTTAAGCTTAATGTATTTAGAAGCAACATAACAAAAACCATTATGATAAAACTACTATAATCAAATTAACTGGTTGGATTATATACATATATTCATTAAATAGGCATTATTCATATAGAGACACATCATGCGTGTATCATTCTGCATGTGTATATATATATATATATATATATATATATATGTATATGTATATATATATATATATATACGTGTATATACATGTATATGCGAATCTGAACACACACACATACACACAGATATATTTATATATATATTGTTTATAAAAAAAATTAAACGCATGAGATAACATATGAATTTTAAACTATTTTATTTTTTTAAAGATAAACAGCGGCGTGCAGTCAAATCCAAAGCTAAATAAAAATATATAAATAACATTGTTTGTTGGAGGCACACCATTCTGAATAAATTCATTGACCTTCAGCATTCGATGATTCGTTAATAAAATTAAAAGATATGTAAAATATGATAACACATATACACAGATAACAAATATGGACACGCACACACACACACAAATATATATATATATATATATATATATATATATATATATAAGAATAGTTGATCTGTCATCAGTTACGTCGGCCAGTACGAGTACATAAAGTACACCATCTCCCATCAACGACCAAAGGTGCATTTTTGTGAACACTCGTTTTAGGCTAGACGCGTTTTGTCCCTTATGGGACTCATCAGTAGCCCGAGTTGAAACAACGGCTTAGTGCGATTCTTATCTAAATAGGTTG